CTATTACATGGGACTCATAACATAAATAGCGAAAAGTGGGTGTTACATTGTACAGTCGTATAATGTGCACCTCTGCCTACCCCTTCGAGGATAAAAGGCGTGATGTTATGTTATGTTAACAAAAAAATCGCATCTAAAAAAAATCGCAAATCGTACTTTAAATGAAATACCGAAGTAAACAGCAAAATCCTTCCGCACTTATTTCTCGCAAGCGTCCTTTACATAATCTTATAGTCTATCCCTTTCACACTTCGCCAGAAAAAAAAGGACAGGTGTTATATTGAATGCTTGTGCTACAAGTCAATAGGGAGTTTGGACGTGTTTGGAATGCGTAATTGTGTGAGACGAGGGACTTAGAGACTGCGATCTTTATCCAGATGTGAGCCGAGAGACCGTGTTTACCTGATCAGGTAATCTGTTTGGCAGGTGATACTCCACGGTTATGTCTTCGCTTCTACATTATTTGTATCGCTTGTTATGTATGACGTCATTATGCTCGAGTGTTTCATTTATTGTTCTTTTGTAACATAAATGATGACATGTTTAATGATGTATTTCTAATAATAAGCCTCTTAATAACCCTTTTGAAATTATTCTTAATGAGATCAGAGTGCACATCACGCATTTCATCCCCAATGGGGTAGGCAGAGGCACTTTATGCTACTTAATGCTATTGTACAGTGTAATACAAAATTTACACTATTGAATATTGATGTTAGCGTGCCATGTAGTGGGGGTTGAGCCTATTGTTTTTGAAAACACAGATTACTTTGCCCGGCCCGGAAATCGAAACCCCTGGCCCGACAGTCACATTTGCGACCACTCAGCCAACAAGGCAGCTTCTGCATGACTACTCTAAAAGATAGACTAAAATTAAAAGGTAACAAAATGTTGTGTCAATTTATTTGTAGCCTATAGGCCCAAATGGTTGGGTTATTTTAAGAAAAAAGAAACAGGTTTTCAATTCAACACATAATATATTAGAAGTTAACCAAACATAAAAGCAATCGTAACCTAAGTATTGCAGTGACAACACACACACACACACATAGTTCCAACAAAACAAACAAACACACACATAAATCACAAACGTTTCAGTAAAAATATCAAAGTTCCACAACCGGTACAGTGATAGATAAAGGCACAATGTGGCGGTCGCCATTCTTGGTACACTCGAGACAAACATCCAAGCGAATACGAAACAATGGCTGCGTCGACTGTACTCTGGACAATGCTCTATCAGGGACACCAATGTACACACCAGTACACATCAACTCACACAAAACCAGTATAAACTGACCCTTGAATCCGCGGAAAGATCTTAAACAACTAGACCATGATAAATTGGATTTATGGTGTGTTAAAAAAATGGACAAGATTGTAAAAGGAGGTATTGTGTTCTAATGAAGCTGTTCTCGGCTATTAAGACTTGTAGAGACACGAACTGCTGTGAAATAAATGGGAAATGTTAATGGAAAAGGAACATTAAGAGCAGTGGGTCTTACAGTCATTATAATAAAGGTGATAATTAAATCGTGGTATATTTACAACGGTCTTTATATGTTCTGTGTTTACAGCCATGAAGCTCACTGAACGTAGATTAAGCTATGTTATAGACAACGTATAACGAGTGGGTAACTGTCAAGGATTGTATTGATGACATTGGTTCTCTGAAAAAAGATATATACACCGAACACAATTCCAGATGCCGCTTTATTACCGAGACTTTTTGAAAATCCGATATTTTCTTATGCACTAAGCCGGTAAACGAGCAGATCACCTGATGGTAAGCAATCGGCGTCACCCATGGACACGCGGAACACCAGAGGCGTTACAAGTGCGTTATCGGCCTTTTGAGGATTAAGAAGTTGAGGCTTGTATGGGATTCAGAGATTGGGGAGATTGGAGGGGAGGCGGAATTGGGCTAAGGGGCGCCTTAGAATTAAAGTAGAAACATATACATAGCTAGACAATCATGCTGGTTGCCCCTTGACTAACGAAGCACTCAAGAACTGTTTCTAGACATAAAAAACAAGAACGTATAGCGATAAAAACCACCAGATCCCTGTAAATCACATCAGAGAAAGGCAATTAAGTAAATAATTATCCTGCGGCGGCGCTCGTAAACGAGTGGCAGTTTGATTTATTGCGCGTTCGTTCATGTCCACGATAATTGTCCGAGATACTACCTACTAAGTAACTGTACTTAACATGTGCTTAATAACAACTAAGTATTGGTACTTGAGACGACTTAACTATGTGTAACTAGGTTCTGCCAGCGCCTTAGTTGACGTTCCCGTGGGATAAAAAGTAGCCTATGTGTTAATCCAGATCATAACCTACCCCTGCTCCATGTTTAGTTCCTATCCCTTTAGCTGTTTTGGCGTGAAGAAATAACAAAGTGTGGGAGAGCCATGCTTCAGCACGAATAGGCCGACTCGACCGGAGTGACACCACGGCTTCACAGAAAACCGACGTGAAACACCGATTGCGTTGTGTTTCGGTCGTGTGAGTGAAATTACCAGAGATACTCCGATCTCCCTAATCCCTAAATCCAAAACAATCTTCAAATTCCTAATCTCCAAAAGGCCGATAATGCACACGTAAACAACTCTGGTGTTCCAGGTGTCCATGGGCGGCGCCGATTGGTTACCATCAGGTGATCCGTCTGCTCGTTTACCGGGTTATCCCGAAAAGAAAAACAAACAAACAGAAAAACGGAATTATCATTATTAATAGGATTCTCAGTTAAATACTTTGTTTGCGTTATAATTCCATGTGAAACACATTTGGAGACTGTTTCACGCTACTTATGTATATGCCAGATACAGTTAAGAACGTAATTTGTTTGATCTATTTGTCACATAAGCTTATCAGGTTGTTATATGAGAGTAGTGTAGTGAAATACAAAATTGTTTCGAAAAACTAGCATACAACATCTGAAGTATAGAATTTAAAAGATATTTCTTGCAACTAGAATCGAATTCTTCAACCATTCAATTTAAATGCAAAACTAACCGTTGGAATAACAACCTCCTTTGTATCGTCAACTGCAACGTATACACAAGGACATACATATCTACTGTATCTATATAGACCACAAAGCAAAAATGCATTTATTAAAAAACACAAGACGATACACGCATACTCGTACATTGTTCGCAACGACCATAAGTACAGTCAACCAATTTATTTAGTATCAAAGCAAAGAAATCCAAAAAAGAATTAGACTGCACGGTTGGTGCGGTGGCTGGGCAACTGGCTGTCGCGTAACGTGTCGCGGCTTCGATGTGCACACGGAACAAGTCTTTGTGTGATCCACAGATGGTTATTCTAAGCCTGAGTGTGATGTAGTATTTGTGTTTATAAATGAGAAAAGCTAAGTATACAGGACAACGATTCACAAAATATTTTTTCTTAAACTACATTTAAAAAATCCCGAATTCGATCCCCTCTCTTTTTTTGAAGTCGGTTTATTAATATACCTACTAAAACCTGCTCCTAACTGTAACAGACACTTTTCTGAAAACCGCATCGAAATCGGTTCGGCCAATCGCGAGATAATTGCGCACAAACATACATACAGATCAAACTGAAAACCCCCTTTTTTGAAGTCGGTTAAAGAAGTACTGAACTTTTCTTATCAGCGTTCTACTAAACTCTATGTGCACGTTTCATTGCAAACTTTTCCACAGACCAGCCAGTTACAAAGTTGATATAAGGGCTTGTACACAAAACTGCGATGCGATGCGAATTCGCAACACAGAACATTACGACATGAATTGCTGCGATGCGATTCATGCGACAGGGCGTCTCTCAGGGTGACCATTCCTTCGACGACCGTCAACCATACTAAACGTATTTTAAATTGTAAACTAGGTCGTGACGTGGATCGTAAAAGAATTGTGCACTTTTATTATTGCTTAGGAGATACAGGAAAAAGAAACAAAAAAGACTTTGATGCGCGAAGCGAATCAATTCGCAAGTTCTTACGATGTGTAGAGGGAGCTCGCACATTTTTGCGATTGCGTCGTCGCATCGCAGTTTTATGTACGAGCTCTAACTAGGAACAAAGTAACCATGGATATGAACACAACCAACTGTCTTCAACATATCATATGCACAAAGATACTTTTTAAAACAATTTGTTAAGACTGTAATAGATCAAGCTATACAAAACCAGTTTATTCTGGTCTTGTTTTGTATGATCTTTCTGCACATGCCACGGTCAGTCTATACTGGTTTTTATAACTTGATGTGTATAAATATTTTGTTGCGAATTATTTCAAACTTGTTTCATTTCTGGTGACATGTTTAAACATGTTTGTCTGTCCAAGTTTTGCGAATTGAATTTGTTTTGTTTGCCTTTCGTTTCAAATAAGTTTAGGTATTCTGTGCGCGTTTGCGAACTGATGACTGAAATATCTTATTTTGATTCGTATTATCAGATTAACATTTTTAATCATAGTGCTATAATTACTGCCTCGTTGGCCGAGTGGTAGCAAATGCGACTGCCAGGCAAGGGGTCTCGGGTTCGACTCCCGGGTCGGGCAAAGTATTACTGGGTTTTAAAAAAAATCTCAGTAGTAACACGAATTCTGGAATTGTGCCCGGTATATGGCAATAGGCTCACCCCCTATTACATGGGACTCAAAAGTGATTGTTCCATTGTACAGTGGCATAATGTGCACTCTGCCTACTCCTTCGCGGATAAAAGGCGTGATGTTATGTGTTATGTGCTATAATTACGTCGTTTATATCAAAACCTCGTTTGTACTACATAGTACAGGTATTATTTCATTTTAAACTGTCACTGCGCTTAATTACGAAATATCATCAGGAGTCATAATTAATGGAATTAATTATTTGGTACAACTAATACAGTTTTATATTTATACTGGCGCTATTTACTAAATTAGAATTAAACACCTACCAATAAGCTTTCCAAATTGCATACTGAAAGTGCCAATTTTAAAATTACTTTTTTTCCTTTGTTGCAGATCCCTACATCGCGTCCAAGATCCTATGTAACGAGACGATAGTGCTGTCTCACTCGCACCCGCACGCTATAATATCGAGCCCCGGCTTCCCCCGTCCGTACCCTGATGATGTTGAGTGTGTGAGTGAGATCCGAGCGCCGCCTGCGCATACCCTGAGACTGCACTTCGAAGAGCTGCTGACTGAACATGAGCCGCAGTAAGTACTTGATTATTTATTTATACTATGTAGTTTTGTCAATATTATATCTACGTTTATAGGCAGACTACGCGTAGTAAAATACATGAACACTGTAGGTATACTCATATAAAAAAATGTCTATAAGAAACAATTTAAATAAATTATTATGTTTTCGGCTTACTCACGTAATAATTTGACGAGGAACTCTCTCTCTCTCTCTCTCTCTCATTGAAACTAGTCGAGTTCCTCGTCAAATTATTACGTGAGTAAGCCGAAAACATTAATTTATTTAATATGTCTCACGAAAGTTACAATACATAAAAAAAACAATTTAAATGTTACCAACCTACACGAAATTAAAATGTAATAACATAAATAATGTAACAATATAAATTTTGATTAATGGCTGTCATTATGATAGTAAAACAGAAGGAAATAATTAACACAACTGTAGTCTACAGATTAACGGTGTATTGCTAATGTAATTATGGTCTATCTGTAGATCAGATTTACTATATAAATGTTTTGCTAATTCCAACGTTCCACAAATAAACTCTGTACATTTGTAGGTATGTTGTACATAATAATAACCTAGTATAACCTAGAAATCATTAAAGGAATACAATCGCAGAGCTTAGTATTCATTACATCTTGGACGTGTGAAGTCCCAACGAGAACAATGCTACTAAGAACACCTTTTGTGCAGTGTCTGATACCTGACACTTATGTACTATGTGTAAAGTCTGACACCTGACACTTGTATATACATTACTACAAGTTATACTTAGACATACGTTGCTGTATTGTATTAAGATATTATGTTACGATAGAATAGGAATGGTGACAGGGTAATAAAAGTAAATATCTAATTAGTCCGTCAGTTAGGTAATGAAAAAATATTAGACACATATTTTATTATTTTGTTGTGTAATAAAATGATACTTAGATATATCGAATCAAAGCTTAGGAGTGGGTGCTTAAATGTCATTTCTACGTATAAAATGTACTTAGAAGTGACGTCACGCGAAATTTCAAATCAATATATCGTCGAAAGTATTCGTTTCTGTAAAAAATATGTGTGTTATGTTTTAAAATAACCTACCAGAGGGACATTAAAATAAAAATTAGTCATTTACCCTATTGCTGTGTTAATAAAACAGGGAACACATTGTACCTTTTTTCTCACTATAATGTTTATCTCACTGAAACCAACATAGGCATAGTATCACCGCACAGGTATTAATTTTTTTTAAATAAAACGTGTTGTTAATTTTTCTTCAAGGTGGGAATCTACTATAGGTGGGGGCCTACCATAGTTTTACTCGCCAATTAGATGGCGCAAATGTAGAAAGAGGCACATTTGTCCAATCACAGCAGGTGTCAAATATTAAACGTCCAATGATGTGACACTAGCTAACTCTGTGATGGACGAAGAACGAGAAAAACATGTGTGGTATTAAGTTATGGGTCGCCTGGTAATAAATGCTTGCTATTATGGTACAATATAACAGTACTATCATGTTTGGTAATATAAAATACTAACTTATAAATATTATCTCTCTTTGCCATACATACATGTATATTTTAATTTTGGACACAAATCAGTTTGACTTAGTATAGAATAGAATAGAATAATTATTTATTTGCTCAGAATGCAGGTATTTACAATAAGGTGATATTAAAACACTAATAAGAAGTCCTTGTACATTACTTAGAATACAAAATGCACAATCTTCTTCAAAAATCAAGAATGACGCAACTCATTTTCATCTATGTTATTGAACTTAGCCTTCTTGAAATAGTTTCATAATTATCACCCCTGTAACTTTCAGTAATGAAGTCTAGGCTGAAATACCACACGATCCATTATACGCGGCCGAAGCTCACATTTCTTCAAAAGTATTTGTAGTGAGAGCGATTCAATATATTTGTGTTTGTCGGCCACATTCTCAGAAATATTGCGCACACATAGCATCTCTTTGCCCTGTATTTCTTTTGTAATAGAACTACTTACATCTTTGTAAATGTGAAATATGGTACAGTTTGTTTATAAAACGATTCGACTAGTGTTTGTCCTTGAACTTTTTTTATTGAGGTGAAGCTACAGTTTGTTATTTGTATCTCAGATCTTTCGGACTTTGTCGTGACTGTTAATAACTGTATAATTACTCATTAATGTGTTAATCATCTGTAATTCAAAACTTGCCGTAGATTTCATATTTCTAATGGAAAAGGATAACATTTTCTTTGCAGCAGCAGAAATTATTTTCCTTGAAAAATGCCAAAAGGTATGTCGTGTCCCGAATTATATGAAATATTAGTTTAGGTAAATGTTTGTATGATAGATAGTGGGGTCGCGTCGCCTGTCACGCGTGGGCGATAACGAATAGACCCGAATTATTTCTTGTTTTTATGTATTTCGCACGTTTATCATGTCACACTGGCGACATTTATCACAATTGCCAGAGATAACCGTCATGAATAATTCTATTTTGTACGAAAAGCTATGAAAATGTTGAACTATAACTATTTTCCCCAACAAAGCCATTATAAGTTAAGTTACATTAGGATTAGTTTGGTGTAGACACCGATCGATTGCTTGCTACGGCGTAGCAACCGTAGCTGTAGTCACGAGCTACGGCGTAGACACTGCGTAGTTGTGCTAAGTAACCCGACCTTTAAACTCAGTTGTGAAGTTATTATTATGTTGTTTGCTTTGATGCTCGTTTTATCGAATGATTATACTTGCGACAAAACACTTTACTTGGTAACTTGACTCCCCACAAGTAATTTAAAGTTAGAAATACAAATGTATTAAAGTTTTTGTATTATAACTTACAATATATAATATTTCTTTCTTAATTAGAGGTACAATCTATTTCGCAAAAAGATTGTTTTATTGGCCTGACATTATGACAATGAATATTAAACCCAGCCACGTCGATAATAAAACCGAAAATCTAAAACATGACCTAAATATTTCATTCAAGCAATTTGCTCGACGCTAATTGTTATTAAACTTTTATCGTTTTAATCGCAAAACAGGAGACTATAAAATGAGAGTAAAGAAAGTATATATAAAGGCTGTTAGTGGTTGTTATGCCGTGGGAGGCTGCGTCTGACGGCTCGTTACTACTTTATATTGCGCTTGTTTACCGAGTTAGCTCCAATTAGTTATGTCGCGAGCAATTAACATAATATGTTAACGGTGCGAACTTTCGCAGGAGGATTTTGTGATTTTATTTTATTTGTCTTGTAGTTTTTGCAGGATAAAGTGATGTGTTGTTGAGAATTTTTGATCAATTATTTTTTTAAGTAATAAGCCGGTAAGCGAGCTGACGGATCACCTGATGGTAAGCAATCGGCGTCGCCCATAGACACTTGGAACACCAGAGGCGTTACAAGTGCGTTACTGGCCTTTTGGGATTAGGAATTTGAGAATTGTTGGGGACTCAGGGATTGGTAAAGGGGGAGAGGGTAATTGGGCCTCCGGCCTCTTACTAATAATATTATAAATGCGGAAGTTTGTAAGTGTGTTTGTAACTTAATCTCTTCAAAACGGCTGAAAGGATAGGGATGAGATTTGGAACAGGGATAGATTATGGCTTGGAATAACTACTTTTTATACAACGGGAACATGGACAAAGCCGCGGACAGAAGCTAGGAACATTACATATCCTTAGCCGTTTAATTAAAAGGCTATATAAATCTTGAAAGGGTAAGCAGACGATTTTACACTGTTACATCCACTTTTCACCACTTATGTTATAAAGTGCCACGTATCAGGAGGTGAACTTATTGCTACACCAAATTAGGTGGTATTACAGAAAAAAAAATCGAAAAATAATATATAAAAATATGCTTGACTCGGGAATCGACACAGAAATCGCTCGTTCTCTAGGTACACTAAAATATAAGTTTTTTAACCGACTTCTAAAAAGGAGGTTAACAGCCTGTTTGTATGTGTGTTTATCCGCCATTGGCTCGCGATGATCTGAACCGATTTTGATGTGGTTTTCAAAAAAGTGTTTTCAAGGCTTAGGAAAAGCTTTTAGTATATTATTTTACCGATTCAAAAAAAGGGGTTTGAAGTCGGTTTTTTTAAACGTAGTTTATAGAAGAATTATCTAAATATATATAAATTAAATCCGTTTCCCGTTGTCACGCCATACCTTGAGAATGGCTGGACCGATTTGGCAGATGTTTTTATGTTGTCTTTGTTATTGTCAGGAGAAGGTTTTTATGATAGAAAAAAACCTGAAAATCTTATGGGGAATCTTATAAAACGGGATTGCGCGTATGAAGTCGCGGGCAGAAGCTAGTTTTTAATAAAACCTTACCCCGCGCTATTTCTCTTGTGTCTATGTTCCCTTGTACAAATAAATATATGTTTAACTACTCGCTAAATGTGTTCCCATTACCGGCGACCGATCAATGACCTCTGGCTTTTAGTAATGAGTCTGCTCCCACAGACATCGGCTACTTTCCTCGTTTGTGAAAAGGTTTATCCACACGTTTTATGGGTTATTTATTGGTGTTAAAAGATCATTGACCCTGTACCTGGATGTTTAAAAATAGAACGAAATGTATCTCATTTCATTAACAGTTTTTTGTTGGTCTGTTCAGTTCAATAGACATATTTCTTTGAGAAGTTTTGAAATAAGAACATTTGATTGAAAGTTCGTTGCTGATTTGTGAAGTTGGAAAATAAAGTTTAAGATGTCCAGGTATATCAGAAGTTTCATTAACTTCTTTTGCTCGCTTTATGATACCCGAGGAAATAGTAGGGGTGTTAATTAACAAAGGTATTATGTGCTGTTATCCCCACACCGCTTATTAGTGATAACGTATAGTTATAAATAGCTTAGAAAGAGTTACAGACTTTGCTAATCACCCAAAGTTAACCACAGCCTTCTACATTAAAAAACGATAACAATATAAGGAAACAAATAGAAAACCACAAAATCTAATAAACAACAAAACAATTTGAATGAAAATTTCATTAAGCATTCTTTTAA